AAATGCAATTTATTATTAATTTATTAAATTGATATACAAGATCATCTTGTGAGTCTCTCCGTGTTTTTTTTTTTTAGAAAACTAAATAATATCGAGCCTAGCACTTACCGTGCCTAATACAGTCAAACTTCTATATATGCATCCTCAGGACCGATCATGAATGTGCATTTAGTTATGTAAGTGTCATTAGTAGTTAGAACTGAGGCATAGAATGCAATTATCATTCATAGAGCTGCGTATGCATATGAGGTTTCACTGCACTAACCTATCATGCCGCTCTAGATAAAAATATAACGACGATAACTTGAAATTTTTCTTGGCTATGAAACTGTTGTAATACATATAATAAAAGCATATGATTTAATACGTAATTATATCACATGTTTACCTAGACGATTATATTGACTATATAATCCGAATTTGTTGTACATACGTGCCAGTGAGGTGGTAAAGAAGGGTATTGGATGTGTTGTAAAACCAGGTTCTACATGGTTTGACTTTGATAAATTATGTCTTGAGGTTAAAGTAAACGTGCAAAATATACAAAACCCATGCGAGCCTAGTTATATTTAATTATGCTTAGTATATGATACAGTCGTCCTTCTCCATAATCACGCGGTCCTTATCATGCCAATTGCGTGATATATAAAGTCTTTTTACTGTGGTGTATTTAGAAAGAGGTATTTTATTTATAAGTTTATTAGTAAAGTGTTGCAAACTTCAACGTGATTATAAAAAAAGCTTTACTATAATATACAGTATATGATTATATATAAATTAAAAACTATAGTTAATTTTTATTATAGTTACCGGTATTAGTTATAATTATAATTTTACTATTTAGATAGTTTTTCTAATACTTTTATTAATTTTTATTCTTAAACAGGTTTGCTAATATTTTATTAAGATGATTGTATAATAATTTATACAAATAATTTTTAATTTGCAAACTTGAGATATCTAATTGTCTTAAAAGTATTTAGATATAACCTGTTATATTAGTTTAATTTTAAACTAAAAATTGTATTAAACTATTTTAAAATAAGGGTTTAAGAATTCCGTGCACCTGCACGGTCGTGCATCCCCGTGATCGACCAATCAAAACCGATCACGTGAACACATGATCAATCGTTTGTAATCGGCCAATCAGCATCAATTGAAATTTTATAAAAAAAATTTATTTTATTATTAAAAAAAAAAAAAAAAAAAAAAAAGAATACGACGACAAATTAATTGCATTACAACTAAACAAAGTGACGAACATCCTTAAAAA